ACTCTTTAACTTCAACTTTAGTCTTCATTATTTTTAGTGGAATAAACTTCTCTGGAAACAATTAGCGAAACGATAGAATTATTTAACAATTGTGCTGTTACATTATTATAATTTTCACGCAATACTGACAAGAACAAGAGTCAATATTTGCTGTTCGATTTTTCACATATATTTCCCGAATTGCAAATAACATTTAACTATTAGAGAACTCGGAACTTTAAAATCAATTACAAACAATTCCAAATGGAATATGAAACAGATTCGTAACCTGTAAAATTTCTTTCCAAAATTCCCTATATTTTATTATGAAGCTCTATGCAAAAGAGCTCAAAAAGTACCTATTATAAAACGCTGCTTCGCTCAAGTTCCGAAGATGCCAATTATCAATTTGTCCAAGTATAAATTTAATACCAATTTTATGGAATATTCTGCGTAAACAACTACTTTCGAACGACGCATCCCGCTTATTAAACCACATAGCAACAAAATGTAACTCGCGTTTTGACCACATACATGTTCAAAAATGTACATCTTTGAGGAATATGTTATTACAATAATCACAATCAGAAGTCATCTTTTAGTAAAAAAATATAAGTCTATAATAATGGCAAAGAGCGGTTATTAAGGAAACGGTACATTGAAGAAAACTGAAGAAAGTAGGCGAAAATATGAATCCATTTTCGAATTATAAATTTTAAGTATACCGTCTTAGCTGATACATAGCGCTATAATCCTTCATATAATCACGCTAACTGGAAAAAGCGAGTCAACGCCACTGGATTTACACAATATATTCAACTTTTAAGTTTATTTTAACCTCCCTTGACGCGTAGTAATGCACTTCATTACTCCAGTCAAGTTGAACCAAGTTACGAACCAGAAAGTTCTACAACGACGAAATTGGAAATTAGTCAGATCCTATTCTAAGTTAAAATTTGCACGTACGATAAAAGAAAAAAACAGACAAATCATCGTCGATTTAATAAAATTCTCTGTAACATTAGTAAATTATCACTCTAAAATTTCTTTACAATTTTCTCATATTATTCTCTATCATCGATGCGAGAATTATTCATGATAAAAATAAAAAAATTCGCTGCATCGTTTAGCTCAACTCCAAGGCAGCTTTGATCGTTCTTTATCCGACACCCTGTATGCCAGAGAATAGACACGTGGGAACTCAGTCGGTAGACGAACTCGGGTTCATCGTCCTCGAGAATCACCAATCTCGGCCGACCTTCGTCGTCGAGCGAGCAATTAATCGATTTCGGGAAAGGCACAAGAAGGAGAGAAGATTCGATTCCGATAAGAATCGGTCAGCAGTCGCGTAAATAGTGGTGGAACGTTAATTTTGAAAAGGGGCTGCCCTCCGGCTGGCCGAGGAACAATGGGTGTACCGTGAACACCGGAAATCAGATGCGAATAGCAACAAGAACATCACGAAACAAGCGCCTACCGCAGCTTTCGACGAATTAGCACGGGACACATGGTACACCCTCTACGTTTCCTCGTTTTTTCCACTGTCAATTATTATTATTATTATTATTATTATTATTATTATTAAATTTTCCTCGTACATCCTCGAATTTTTAATCTCGTGAGCCAATATTATTTAGAAATACTATCTAGATAGAGGCGACGCAATGTATATTTTTTACATAAATTAGCACTTAATATATGTGAACAGAGTTACAAGTTAAACATTAACAGCGTGGAACAACAAATGTTGATACTTGATGGTGATTACTTAAACCTGAACACAAGTTCAATTGTCACTCGTACACGATATATTTTAATAGTTATCATCCTTCAGTAACTACCGTAATTTTATCTCTTTGCATGTACGTGATATTAGTTTAACAATGTTATTGCTATTTAAATATTATCAGATACTTTAAGTATTTCTCTTTGAATGAAAATAAATTTTTAACTGTGAGATTTTATTAATTAGGAAAATAATTTTGTCTTTTACTACTAATTATTTTAACATATTTCAAACTGTAAAATAGACCAAAATTCAAGGTTGTACGACTGCACGGTGCAGCACGATGTTCGCGCGAGCTCGCCCACGCTCGTACACGCGAGCAAGCGTCGCGTCGGAGCGGACATCGGCGTGTGTGGTGTGCAAGTGGCGCAACCGGATACCGCGAGTAGAGGCCGGCACGCGCCGAAAGCCAACTCGTCGGTTTTCTCGGCTGGTTACCCGTCAATTTGCCGCTTCGATACTCTTGCTACGGGGAAAGGCGAATCGAGAACGCTCGCTGAGCGTAGCCACGCGTGTCCCGTCCTGGAACGTGCCAAATCAACGTATGGCAAATCGTTGAAATTCAACGGTTTTCTATTTTATATATATATACACATATAAGTGTGTTTTTTTAAATTTGTACTATCGTAGTGTGGATTTTTATGCATTTGTGAGGAATTCATTCTATCTAGTTATATCAACATAAAAGTGAAATAAATTCTTTCTCTACGAAGAGAAAGTTTTCTAACATTTTCTATCAGTCTTAAATCCCGCCTGTACAAAAATGTAGATATAAGAAAATAAAAAAGATATTATATAAGTGGGGGTCTATGATGTCTAGATTACAACATTTTCTGTTGTTCTTTGAAACAAACTTAAATTGCAATTAATTTAGTAGTATCTTATGAGATATTTATTTCCAGGTGAGGCCTCTCCGTTGCTCCCACAGTAGTTTCTGAAACAAACTTTAATTATAAAAAATTTAGTAATATTCTGTGAAATACAATTTATTATAACCCACTGAGGTTCAAACATCTACAGATTTTCAGATTATCATTCTACTTCTTTAAAACACGTAAGTGTGTATTTGAGATATGGAGGATTATAACTGTGGGTATTTGATAGACGCAACACTAATTGTAAGTACCAAAAATGACACGACCATTTATCAATGTGATACACAAATTTTAATTAATTTAAAAAAATTAACGATTAAATAAAAATTACTATTTATATCTGAAAGACTATTTCAATTAATCGTTATTTTCGATTTTAAATAAATTATGATACTAATTTTTGAAAATACATATCTTATAATGTATCGGAATTTTAATTTAAATCAAAATCAACATCCATTTGTAACTCTAATTCAGAATACAAAATTTTGATTACTTCGCAATTCTAATACAAACCGCAATTAATTTCTCGAAACGCTAAAATAAATAATCGCGATATATCCTATATGAGGGAGGGAACTGACATATGTTATATAAAAAAACATATGTTATAAAAAAAAACTACTACTACTACATATTACAAAAACTAAAAGCGAGCATAGTGACAAAGTAGTAACAAGAATGATTTCTTACGCTCTGAATGGATTTCCCATTCAGAGGATGAGAAATCATTGATTGCCCTCTTGAGCGACAATTTTGTCGGACCTCTTCGGCCTATGGCCTCTTCTTTCTTCAGGCGCGACGCCCGCTGAAACTTATAACTAAGCTCGAGTCTTAAACTTTCGTTTCGAGCCCTATTTGCGACCTATTCGCGACCACGAACGCGAAATTCGAAAAATCGAGGGATAAAATGAGGTGGCATGCTCCAATCGTGCCAGCTGTACCTTCGATTTCTCAAATTGCATTTCCAGAAACAGGTTGGACACGCGAAAAGAGGACCGACCAGAGACTGTGCCAACCTGCCCGGCCCTACCTACTTATAACTAAAACACACATACCAGAAGTAAGCTATCTATCCTATCCAGCCGCCCTATATTTAAGAAATGGCAAAAGACAGGCACACCAACACACTCTCTCCACGGTTCTCACACATACCATCCGGGCGCAGACCTAAACTAGAGAGGATGTCCCGAGACACCTCCGACACCCGAGTTTAACATACAACATTCACACTCTAATTTACATACCATTTTCTTGAAATCGACTGACAAAGGCTAGCGACCATTGCGTAAAATATAATAAAAGTAATTGCGCGATTTGAATGAAATATATTTCAATATCAATTTTAATTAAATGTTCACGATCGTGTTGTATAAATAATGATAATCGTATGTTTATCTGAAGAAATGGTAGTGGTACAAAATTTGGTACCATTATGGTACACTTTTCATTATTGTACATTGCTTGGAATAATAGTAGAAACGAAGCAATTCCACATTCTAACCATACACACACAAACGTGGAAAATACGTCGTGCACGATACGCTAACAGTCATCCTCAGTCGCTGAGACATTATTAGGCTTATAAAGATCGGTCATCATGCCCATTGCCTTTCTCCCATCCAAGTAGCACCTGAGCACGTGAATGAGGTCCTGGCAATGAACACGGAAAGGATTAAATCTGAAAATCCTGAGCTAAAAAGATAATTAATATATCTGTTTTGTATCTAATTCAATTTTCTTATTAGGTTTCAACTTTCGATTACTCTATTTTATAATTAACTTTGATAATTGAAAGAATTACTAAAATGTTACAGAAGAAAAAAAAACCAAGATTCAATGCAAGTAAAATTCAATGAATAATAATGAACTCTAAGTGAAATATTAATAGAAATACTCTCAGACGATCTTTTCATCAAAGCAGATTTTAGAAATTACAAAAGAAACATTCAAAACCATTGCTTTGATTCTAAGATCTGTCTGCTGCAAGGTGTTTTCTTACACGTGAAATTTGATACATTCTTGGATGGATAAAACTGAACTACAATACTCTTGTATTTTAAATTTCGTGTTTCTAATTTGATTAATAACATTATAAAGTAATTCCATATTATGATAAAATCATTGTTAGTATTGTAATAATTAAAATTTCAATATTCATAACAACGAATTCGGAGGATATCCACTACTGAATATATTTTGATTTTACAAATAATTATAATCAATATATTTCATATTTTCACTCGTGCAAATGTATGTATATATATGAATCAACAAATTTATTTTAAACTAATTATATTATGTCAATGTTATATTAATCATAAATACATTATCAACATTTAGAATGTAGAAACGCGAAGTGTAAGAAAACCTATCCTGAGCTAATACACAAACAAGAAAATGTTACTATTCACGGGTATATACCCGAGGTCACTATGCTCGACAAAAATTCCACATAGTACAACCAGTCATCCGTGCCGATTCGGACCTTTCATCCTACGACATGATTGGGTGACCAGAGGAATAAAAATGCATGCGACTCACAATTAGATGCGAAGAAAATTGTGAACTGGACGTCGAATCCCGTAGACGAAACGAAGGCTAAAAACAAAAATCATACACATTACAACTTATCTTCAGAAAAAATGTGAAGCATATATGAAGCAAGATACTTACATTCTTGATTTTTGAAGCATCACTGCATCTTCCCCACAGAGAACACAAGGAAGTGGATTTATTGTGAAAAACCTTTAACAAAACGCGAAACACTGTTATTTATTTTTGAAGGCACAACACTGATTGTTTAAAAAGTTTAAGGTAAGGGTACGATATCGTTGCGCGCCAAAACCAGAATGGCGGCTTCTTCATGGAAAGTTATTAACAAATGGCAGGAGATGACGCCACTATAGAGAATTTACGCGGTAAATGCAGTTTAATGAAATTATTTGTTTAATTTAAATAAGGGAAGATTTGTACATTTGAATTGTAAAGTGATTTGCATGTCAAATATTATTAATGATTCGATATAAACTTTCGCCTACAATAAATAAAACATTATCAAGTTTCCATGAAAAATTAACCACCGATCATTATGGCGTCATTCTTTCCCTCTCGTATAACAATTAACCAATACCAATAGCCACATCGTTAACTAATAATTTACAAAACTAATATTTCAAAATAAATATATACCAAACGTAGAATCAAGATCAATTATATATTAAAATTATATTAATTAGATATTAACTAGAAACTCTATGTTACGACAGAAACAAAGAATGCAAGCAATAACAGTCAAATACACAATCAAAGAAAAAAGAAATTGAAAGAATATTTAATTTTAACATAATAATAATGTTTAGTACACGTACGTTTGTATGTAGACAGCAGAATAACAATATAAATATTGCACATCTAGTAATATTATGTCACGCACCACCAAAAAATCGAAACGTCTGAACACCACAATCTCCATCACCAAAATGGCGTCGCGGTTTTGCCGCGCAAATTTCATAGTGGTGGGGGTATTTGGGCTGGCGCTAAATCGACGAATTGTTGTTAAAGCCTAATGAATATTTTATACCCAATCGTGTACATACGTGACCACTTAGCTTGTTTAAATAAAATTCATTAACAACTAAAAAAGATTGTTGTTTAATGAAAATTAATGAAAATTATTAACAATCCAACCATTATTAACAAATACCATCTAATAAATTCCCTATAAATTAGATAAATAAACGGTTAATTGATCAGAAACCACTATGCTCTTATTCATAACTATTGTATATGAATTTCAAGTGAATTTGAATTTTAGACATAATAAAAAAGAATCTTTTTAGTTCTAACCTGTGACAAAGTCTTGTCACTTCACCCATGTTCCTAACCTTAATTTACTCGATCAACTGTATTAACTATAACATATATTTTTATATTCACTATTCCAGATCATAGATGGCACAACAAAATCTTGGACTTTTTGTACAATCGGTACTTCAGAACACGCGGCACAAATCCCCGTGAAATATCTATTCACATACATCTCGTCTGACACACTTATGGCTTTCAAGAATCTGAATTTCTCGATGCTGTCTCTCGAAGCATTTCCATGTTTTACACTTTCGGTAAAAAAAAGAAAAAAAAAAAGGAAGGGCGCGAGAGAGCCGGAAATCAGTTGCTGGTTCGTGATAAATTTCGAGCAGGTGAAATACATCGAAGTAAAAGGCTTCTCACACGGAACTGAGCAACTGGGGAAAAAAAGGTGGAAGAGAAAGAGACAGAGCGCGATGGAGATAAGGAGTGAGATAAGGAAGGCAAAAACGGCACGTGAAAAGACGGATACGCGATTCGATGGCTGAAAACGACCGATAATCATGACTCGGTGCTCCCGTTTATTGCGAATAAAATAATTTATAGAACGAACGACGCGTGTTACGGCCGGGCTAATAATTTGTCATGACATAACGGGATTTCTTTTGAATCACTTGCCTTTTCGCGCGTGCAGCTGGAAAACCAGGATTCCGATAATTAACGCGTCTACTTCTTTATCTTCGTCACTCGTCGATACAACAGCCGGTTAATCATGTAAATGGGATTATTACGAGCACACTGAAGGACCACCATCTTCGCGTTTTACGCAACAAATAAACCGGAAATGTATTCAATACATAGTTGATTTCACATGCCGCACGTAGATGTCAGGTTGAATCGAAGTTTTGGCGATTTGATGACCGGAAATAGCAGGTTATGTTTCGATAAATACTGTCGATACATTCATGTATCAATCACTTTATAAATGTGAGAAATGAATAACAGAGTTCCAATAGAACGAATATGTGAAATAAATGCGAATTATGATATTAAATTACAATGTTTTCGTACACGAACTTAATTTTTATTCAACTACAATTAGGTAGAAATTATGTATATGTATTAACTACGTTTAATTAATTAAATATACAAATTTTAATATACGAATGATTTATCCGAGAAAATTTCCGAGCCCGAAATATCATTTGTTACAGCTATAATTACGTTCTGAAAACATAAAGATTACATTATAGTTTGTATCACAAGGAAACATTATACCTTGTACAAGAAAGCAGTATTGAATATTTTAGCGATAAATAAAATCTTGTAATCTTTCGTGCTCAATGGACACATTATTATTATCTTATAAAAGTAATATTATTAAAATACCATAATACGAATTAAACATCGTTTTACACTCGTAATTTCCATGTCATTGCTAGCTAATGATCGTACAAAGATACGCTTCGTATCACTTCGAAGAAACCCTTGTCACTACTTGCACTTTCACCGGCGATATTGAACGACGCTAAAATACCGAGTACCCACTGTTATCTCGTTGAAATTACGCGTAAATTGTCCAATCGAGATAATTGTCTTCAGATTTATCGTTTGTACAGTTTATCGATTTTAATTGGTGCGAGAAAATCAGGCTCAGATCGCAATAAAACAAGTAACTTTTCCCTTTCGCCCGAAATTGCCCGTTTTTCTTCTGTCTGAGTTTTATTTATGTAAAACCAAAGTCGATAATGTTCGCATAAATCGACGTTAATTAATTAAAGTTCGTGAACTCTTCAAGTTGAAGTTCTGATAGTTTTTGCTTAATTACGAGTCGAACGAATTCCGGAAGAGTTCATTTTATAATAATTGGAATACATTCGTATGCGTTCAGGGAGGAGAACATTTTCGATCGGATAAATATAATGCAATTAGCGATTTTTATCGAAAAGTTCGATTTTTACGATCCAGTTTAAAAAACTGTCGATTAATTAAAGACGATTTATTGAAAGAGAAGTGATTCCGTTATGGAATATACGTAGAAAGTAACTGAAGCAAATAAGCTATAGGAATAAGAAATTTATCAGGCGAAGTGGATTCGTGACGTTAACGGGACTTTTTGTTAATTTAACGAATGTCAATTTAGTGTTTGAAAACAACAATTGGAAAATTAAACCTACATTTCTTTTTGTAGCCGATCATCCTTCCAAGGATTTCGTTCATTACGATAACAATTAATTCACTACGATTGCGAATATATAAAATATATTATAAGTGAAATTTATCGCAACTGATCAACTCCAAACAATTTTCAAGAAACTTATTTATTTTAAAGAGATAACACAGATAGCAGCAAATTTTTAAGATAAATCTAAAAGTTAATCATCGGAATTGATTGTGGAGTAACTTCCGGATGATTCGTACATATGAGCATGCTAATACATAATATAAAACCAATTTTCCCTATGTTTGAGGGGGATTAACGTGTCACAAGAGCAGGTTCTTACGGACCATTGAACGAATAAACGAATGAGCCAGCGAACGAGTAAACGGGCATGGTTACACGGCTGGTCAGAGAGGATCAAATGTCAGGTACGAAACCGTGGCTGGTCTTGGACAGCCTCGAGGAAGTTGCACGACAATTAATCGAACAAGGCGGCAGCTGCTCCGTCATGGTTGATTTTCGTAATTACGATTCGTCTTTCCCCCGTCGGTTATTGCGTGCAAAAAAATTCTGGCCGAAGACCGCGTTTATGTTGTTCGGCCATCGCGAAATTCATCGGTCCGTTTCGTGAAGACGCTGTATCACGCGTTAACTTAATTTGTAACGAACCGATCGGCCACGGCAGCAATTAGCTCGCTAAAAGTTTCCGCAAGCCCGATAATTCTCGTTTGCTCTAATTAATACGTCATCAGCCTTCCACCAATTGATTCTGACTTCATTGGAGAAAACGTCGGCGTGTCTGTTTGTTGTTCTCCTTTCTCTTTCATCCTACTGCTTCCACAACGATCCTCGTTTCACGTTTTTGTCATCTTTTCTCCTCGTTTACCTTGCAAAGAGCCAAGAGTCGAATTTGTTTCCTTGTCGTTAACTCGGGTTAATTAGTTTTAATTGAACGTTAAAGAAGGTTTCGAAAGATTCATTGCGAATGGAAGATTAGGAGAATCGACCGGCAATCTTCTTTTTTTCTCCTCCTCCACTTTCTTTTCTTAAAAGAATCGATTTTCTTTTTGTCGTTAAATTCGAAATAATGAATTTCTGTTCTTAACACTCCAACTACCAAGCCCGTAAAAATTTATAGTTCTTGGATTTTTTGTATATTACATTTGCTGAAAGTACATAAGTGCTTTTAATAAGATTAATATTAATTACATTTTCTCTATAGTAGATTTATGTTACAAATCAGTAGTTCTAACATTACATTACAGTAATTCCTCCATTGCATAGTTATTTTCCACCATGAAAGGGATTTAAACGATTTCGACAAGCTAATGACACACTTATGAAGAACAGCGTGAAATATATAAACATTTTCGTTAACCACACCGCCATACCACAGGACCATATTTAAGCGGTGTCCTTTTACAGATAAAAACGATTGTATTCTGGAAAAGAATAAGGCGGCCAGACCAAACTGTTCATTATGTCCGGTAGGCAGAAACGTTTCTGCTTCTTTGAAACACGCATGACAGATGTTTCGTTGGAAAGTGACAAAGGATTTACCGATTAGGGTCTTCTATCTTTCCGCTAAAAATTAATGCGAGAATTCAAATCGGATTACAGTGTCCTAGAATTCACGAGCGGGGAACGTTAAGCCGGATGCGAACGAATGCGTTAATTATTATGTAAACGTCGCTTGATAAAAATAGGAAGATGTCAGATGACAAATACTATATTTAGTCTACACAATACATTTTCAGAGACTTCACTGTTTACACCTGAATTCCTCAGATACACAAGTTTTTTATCGTCGATAGACACGCGCTTACACAAATTGGTACACCATTGTATTTATATGCGAATTAATTAAGTATCGTTCAATGACACATTCGTGCGGCTATAAAAATTCTTCACAGCGTGAGAACGAAATGTAGACTCGAGGAAACGTTTCATCGAGAGAAAAGTGCGTGCCAATACTTTTACACGTACATACTGTACATGATAATGACACGTGAATAATAATTGCAATTTCAGTTCTCATGCACCGAGCTGTTCGCCTCACTCTCGATCTCACGCGTGCATCTTTGTCCTCGAACGATTCATACCGACCACGTATCAATTCGCGCTGTAACGTAGGCGTATACGCAGACAGAGCGAACGAAACGAACGTAAGAATTGTAATACAGGAGACATTCGACAATACGCGAAGGCAGCTGCTGTTTCTCGGTAGCAATTCGCACAATGGCATCGCGCGAATAATTCTTACGGTAATTACGACGTCGTTTCTCTTTTTCTCCCGTCATCCCCTTTTTCCACTCGCTTTTGTCTTCTACCTTCCCATCTGGTTCCGCTCGTGAATCCCTCTTTTTTCGCTGCTTTCTCACGTAAAACGGAACTCGCAACAAGTTTCGTAACGTTTATCGTGATAGGTAGGTGCACACGCGTGAGAGACTTCCGACGTCGGAGGAAATTTGAAAAATGCTCCGATACAGTGGAACTCCATTCATCCGAACCTCGCTTCGTTTAGCAATGATGCGTGTTATTTGCCCTATTAGTAGTATGGCGGTTCTAATTGTGTGTGTAACTTTTATTTTTATAAAAATCACGAATCGTTTCAGCTTTACGAAAACTTCGCTAGACCATTGTCCGTCACCGCAACAATCTATCCGGAACAAAATCAAAATGACGTGGTTGACTTTTGTATCGAAGGGTGGACAGAAAATGCGGGCCCGTTGGTCGGTAATTGGCAGCTTCGAAAATTCGCTAGAGAGTGAAAATCAGCCGGCAGCGAACGGCGGGTCCTCTTCCACTGTGGGTGGAGAACAGTCGAACGCGGTGATTACCAAGTTAATTCCCTCCATTATCGGACCACGAGTGACCCACATCTTCGGGGCTTCCGCTTTCGGAGAA